CATGCACCGTTTCGTTCGATAACTCGATTTTGAAGCGAATTTCATAATCCCACTCTTATACGTATCCACGTTTCTATTGACAAAAGCTGTGACAGTCGATTTTCACAAGCTTTGCTTGAGGCGAATTTTTCACCAGCAAAATCATTCGCCATAGACATAAACAAGTAATAATCACTTGGTGCTGGGTCCAGGCTATGAGATGGAACTTCACATTCAAGCTTCTAGCGAGTCACTGTCGATGTGTGAGATCTGGCGTTGTCCTGATGGAATAAAATTCCTCTCCTCTCGGACAAAGCTGGTCGCTTCTGGACGCTTGCTTCCTTCAGACGGTCCTATAGTTGACAACGTCCGATATGTTTAACGTAGGTACCTGCTGATGACAGCCTTACCACACGGCGCTCAAAAGCACAGCGGATCAAATCAATGCGTTGATCAGCGCCTTGAAAATGCCAGGCATTTTTCAGTGGTCCTCGTGTTGACAGTACAGGTCCGTCATACGAGTTTGTCCCACCAAAACATAGACAAATCTTTCTGATCGTCCGTCCTGGCTTGGCCATCCTTTACGCCGACTCACTGCCTTGTGAACACGACCCTTTTAGTTTGACGTTGTCGTATATGACTCATTTTTCATCCCTAGTAACCATCAGCTTCAGAAATGTATTGACTTTGCCGTCGTTGATATTTTTTTTTAACTCGTGTAGCTCACATACATCTAGCTTCTGTTTGAATGACGGTGCGACTCGACGATTTTCACTATTTTTTCGATATTTTCAGCATTTGGCCTTCCAGAGCGTGGTACATCTTTGACATCCAAATTGGCGGAAGGAAATCGGCAAAACCAAAACTTTGTACGATTAGCTGTAACAGTAGCAGGATTATAAACGCTATTCCTACTTTGAGTCGCCTGGCTTGTGTTATTGCTGTCTGCGAAGTTTTTTTGTACGAATTTTTATCTTTCTAATGCTTTATGGCGTAGCATGATCGCAATTATACAATGGGAGCTACAAATTATTAGGCAGACTGACAGCTATGACTTAATTTTACTTTATCCTCCACAGCTACTGGGTCAACTATATGCTTGAATTATGGATACCAGAAGTTCTGGTCAAGGAGTTGTGCGCCCAAATTCACTTTATACACACAAGACGCTTTTTTAACTACTCCTCTTACGGAAAACCCATTTGTGTACCATTCCAACTATCACACTGATTACTTAGAAATACAAAATGATATGTACTTGTATGTAGACATAATAAGTTGTACAACTGCGAGCATATTTGCCAAGGTTCTCCTCGTATGGTCTCTTACTGCATCAGCTGTTTCATGCCGCACTACAAACATATGTTTATGCATTTAACTTATTTTCTTCCATTTTCCCACTACACTTTTTCCTTCTAATCCAATAAAACTTTTCGCGCACCAATTACGGTCTTTTCACCTTTCTCGAGGCTGTTGAACTTTCTGCACTAAAGCGGTTATTTTTATATTGACGTATGCCCAGCGTTGTGTTTGGCCTTACATATGCGCGTTACACTCTCACGGTTTCGGTGAGACTTGTTAATTTGCTTGAGAATAGAATTTGAAGCATTTGTTGGGTTTAGGCATTAAAATCGCTTGCGTTGGCATTGAAACATAATATGCTTAAATGAATAGCTTGAAGAAGTGGGCGTGCTTGTCATATGTTTGTGGTTTAGGTGAAAAGTGAACTTAAGGCCTTTGAGATAATAAAAGGGTACGTGGGTATATGTAAGCTTACACTCTCAGCTACGGCCATCGTCGGTATAAAATATATATGTTAGTTTAACTCGAAGGATAGGATAGTGGTAATTATCTTTCCTAGACAAACTGCAGAAATTGGAGATTTTGAATTGCTACCACCAACTGGAAACACATAAGAGACTTTTTTATATCGAGTCCTAGATAGCTAGCGTAACCGCTGAGTTCTTGATACGTTGTCCTGACTTTGCTTCTAAGCTTAGAAGCATTAGTACTTAAGGATAACTCCTTTCGTTCTGTTGAAAGCAATTTCATGGCCGACAAATAGATCGAAGTGTGTGCCTACCTGTATGGTCCAATCACATCGCTAATGATAAGCTTTACCTTTCTGCTGTACATAACTGACGTCCTTTCTCTGTAGAATCAGATCCCCCTTTAATTTTTATTTTTAATTTAGACCGATCTAACATTTTCTACGAAGACTTTTAGTCCAGCAACTTAAGTAACAGTACGTGTCGCAACTACAACGTCCTTCATTATCAAGTGTTATTAGATTAACATCGTCACATACGTATGCTCACATTGCAACTCTGCTGTTAAGGCACGTACGCACTAGAATTAGTAATTTCACTTACTGAAGTGGTGCTTTGGTCACTTTCATGTTGGCAAACTCACGTTCGGGTCACTGGTATGATTGCGGAAAAGTTAAGTGAAATTTCAATGCCATTTCCGGGTGTCGAACTTCTGCCGCTCACACACATAAACATACATAGATGAAGAGAGCAAGGCAATGCAATATGCTCGAAATGTAACTAAGGAGGAAAGGGTCATAGAATCTACTTATTTGCAAGGCGTTGCCAAATTTCAATTGTAGGACTTGTAACTAGTCGAGTGATGACGAAAATAAAGGCGACGATTGCATAAACGAGTAAAGGATAAACGAGTGCAATGTTGAAAGAGCAAGCGCTAAGATTTGTGGGAGGGCTATGAAATTGAAATTGCAGTGTGAGAGTACACATGTGAGAGAAATGAGCTGAAGCAGGCAATAAAATAGAAATAGTGATGACATGACAACACGAACACATATGCATGGTTGCAATAGAGAAAACAAACGAAAGCGAAGGCTAGACTGGCTGAGTATGGCTTTAGGTGGTAGTGCAAAGTTGATTGAATAAAAAAGCGATGAACTACTGAACGAGTGCATAATGCGACGATTATATAAAACGAAGGTTCACGAACACAACGAATGCCTATTCGGCGACTTGCTCTAGTGCAGCAACGCCCCGACTACACAGCCAACAGCGCACACTTGTGCTGCACATTTTCCGGCCTATGTAATCGGCGAAAATTTGTTGACCTGGAATCCTTGAGGCTGCAGCAATGGCGACGTAAGCCGCTAACTTTACTTTTTTTATATTCTTAATGTGGGTTGTTGACATAGGGAGACGGTGGCGCGTGCATGGGTGGCAGGGTGAAAGGCATATAAAAGTGCATAACAGAATAGGTGAAATGAAAACGGATAACCGTTAACTATATGGCGCTGTAAAAATTTTTCTGTGAGAGCGAGGAAATGTGTATGCGTTTTGGTAAGGAGCTTGTGTATGGTCAAAATCGGATAAATAAAAGTGTTTGGTTGAGTGAGAGGGCGCTTTTCGTGGTATGGCAGGAGCATTGTGTGGTAAATGTCTCTTTTACATACATATATTTAAGTGTATATAGAAGGCGCGTATCTATCCGGTTATTGCAACCCTGTGTCTGCTGACTTTTGATAGATGAACGCAATGACCTAATTATTGTATATAACTGGTACAATTGTATCGGCAAATAAATAGGGTAAATACTTGAGTTATATTAATTAAGTGACCTTCCGACACTCTCTCGTACGTCTAGCATATATAGCTTTGTATATATGTATTTATAAAGCAATAATAGAAAAGTGTAAACTCCTAAAGCGACGAAAAAACGTACGCACATTGGGTATTTGAAGCTTTTTCTATGGCCGGGAGGCGTAAATATCAGATTTCTTTAGCATTAAAGAAACTGTGAAAAAACTGAAAACTGAGCATATGCATTAAAATTGGTTCCATCAAGCATTATGAAGACATGTAGTCTTTGTGAAGCGATTATATTCTAGAATTTTAATGTCAAAGATGCACCAGGCTTTGGAAAACCAATTGTCAAAAATATCGATAAATAAAAATGGTCGAGGCCGACTGTCATGTAAGCAGTGTTTTGATTGCCCAGAAGCTAAAGATTGCACAAAAAATCATTTGGAGGCATTTAAATAGAGCTGGACACAAAAAGAAGCTTGATATATGGTGCCACACGCGTTACGCAAGCAAAACGCATGATTCGACCCAATTTTCAACTGCGAATCGCAAAATAATCGCAACAAAATCGATCTGTGGTAACTGGTTATGAAAAGTGGGTCACTTATGACAACGTCAAGCGCAAACGGTCGGGGTCGAACGCGGTGGGCCGACGCAAACGGGGACCAAGCCAGTATTGACAGTTAAGAAGAGTTTTCTAAGTTTTTGGTGGGATTGGCAGAGAATCAGCTACTATAAGATGTTCCCCTACGGCTAAACTCGTAATACGGAGCTTTACTGTGAACAAATGCACCGTTTGAAGTAAGCAATCACAGGGAAGTGGTCAGCATTGTTTAATAGAAGAAGTGTTGTGTTACATTCCGAAGAATTACAGAAGCTCCGGCAGCTTGGTTGGGAGACTCTTATGAATCCAACTTGTAGGCCGTAATAGGTAGCAAGTGATTACTAACTGTTTCTGCCTATGGTGAATGATTTTGCTGGTAAAAAATGCGCCTCCAGAGAAGCTTATACAAATTAACTGCTCCAATTTTTGGGTTAATAGCACATTCCTTTCAATGAGAGCGACACTATGTAATTACCTTAAAATGGCAAAAAGTTTTCGAACAAAACGGTGTATATTTGAGCTAAATCAGATCATTCTAACTATGCTAAATGAAATCCTCAATTTAATGCGAACATAATGCATTTTTTTTCCTAGACCTATGTTAAGCTTTTCGAATAGAGCTTTCTTATTAATTAAGATAAGAAAGCTCAATCAAGTTGTGATATTGAAGTGCTCAGCTCTCTTTTTGCATGCTATAAACTCTCGTTTATGTATCTATAAGGGTTGAGTTGGGGGCTGCAGGTGGAGTTAATGCGTTTATAAACTCGTCTTTATTTAAATAAACAAAAAACAATCTGAAAAATTATGTTTATTTATTCTCTATTGAACATCATTCAATTGTCTCTTTTCAGCTTACCGTGTGAAAAATTTTAACGGTAAACTATGTGCGCTATGAATGGCAACTGTGTGCTGTAACCGGTGTCGCCACAAATATTTAATTCCAGAAATTAATGTACATTACTTGCTTGCAACAAAAATGTAAATGAGACAAGAATGGCTAGAAGATTCTGCGATTCTGAAAATTCGTCTTTTGCCAACAAACTCGTGTGCAATAACCGCAAAATGCGCAACCACAAAACGGCAAATTGAAACCAAACATATGTGAACAGCATTTGCTGGCGTGCCGCAAGCAAATTAGGCGTCATACAGCAACAACAATAAAATTTTGTCACACGTCATCGAATATTTTCTTAGTCAAACACCAGTTGCTCGAACCAGCAACCCAACATGTATCGCTTAAATGTGCAACAACAGCAACAACAATCTCAACAGCAATCCACGTCGTCAGCGTCGACGTCGAATGCCAAAACATCGACACAAACGTCGACTACAAGCGCTGCCGCTGCCGCCGCCCCCACCACTACCACCATCATACCCAGTCACATTTTGCTGCAACAACAATTGGCAGCTGCAGCCGCTGCCGCTGCGGCCGGCGTCAATCAGCCACCGGCTACAATTGCTGCAACGCATCTACTCAGCGTCGCCGCCATTGCCAGTGGTGAAGTGAGTAATGCGCTCGATTTGAATGGTCTCCATCAACAGCAACGTACACTCATCCATCAGCCGCGGCAAGCGCATGTCACACATCATCAACGTCTGCATGCCAACAACAACAACAATCACAATACCACCAGCATTACGCTCGGTGAGAAGCCCACAATCATAACGAATGTTTTGGCCGCATCGGTGGAGGAGAAAATTAAAATCATTTCGACTGCCATTAAAACGGAGCCACTGCACGAAGTCATTGCGTTGACGAAGAATTCCTCGGCGCCAGCAACGGCTGTGGCGGCGCCAACGTCAGCGTCTCTGACTGCCGTTAACAGTAGTAGTTCTCACAGCAACTTCAGCAATACTAGCATTAATCGTAACAGCAATAATAATACTCTAAGCAACAGCAACAGCAACAATAGCAATAACAATCACGGCAATACGGGCCACAACAACAATTCGAACAACAGTAATAATATAATCGCACTCACTGTCAGCACATTGCCGTCAACGGCATCCTCAACCAGCGGTACTTCCATTTCCGTTGCTGCCAATAAGTCTTCTTCCACCGTGAGCAATGCAACAACCATAGCTGTGAGTCCGCTAAATAATGTGAACACCATAAATTTAGTTGTTGGTGGTGGCGGTGCTGCTGCGGCTGGTGGTGTTTCCGGCGCTGCATCTACGTCCAGCGGCGGTGCGGGCGGCGGCACTTTGGTAATAACAACTGGCGGCAATCACAGTGCAACGGCGTCATCCTCTTCCGCGGCAGCTGCTAGTGGTAATGCCGGCAGCGGCACTGCCAATGGACATCTGGTCTTTGTGCCCAAGCGCGCCCGTTTGGAATGGTGAGTGTAGTTTATTGATTTTCCACGTAGACCTTGACTTGTTTGTGGTCTCTGTTCGCTGATTTATTCTTACAAATTTTCTTTCTTGCTTCTGTTACATCTTGACACCTTTTGTTTTTTGTTTTACAGTCCTCCAAGTAACGAGGAATGGATTTCCACTTCTAGTCCGGGTAGTGTGCCCAGTTCAGCGCCACCATTGAGCCCATCACCGGGTTCACAGAACCACAGCTACAGCGCGAATATGTCGAATGGCTACGCATCACCGATGTCGGCAGGCAGCTACGATCCATATAGTCCCAATGGTAAACCAGGTGAGTTTAGAAATTCCAGTACTTCTATGTTCATGCAATTTATTAGGTACACCTTAGTAGTCGGATGTTAGTATACTTGCTGCTTCGAACTTTGATCAGCTTTTGTGATGTACCCGACTAATTGAGCGTTCTCCCGACTTTAAGATGTCTTCGAAGCTTGTTATCGACAGAATATTATCAAAATAAGGAGATATTACTCTAACTCCATACACCCATTTTTACGATATGCTGTCTTATTAAACCGCCCTATATAATATGAAGCTTAACCCAATGTTGTTGTTGTTGTAGCGACAGAAAAAATGCCTGCCATTATTTTAAAGAAAGCTGCCGAGTAGACTTACTTGGTCCTTAGTTGGATAAAAATCCGCGTCCGTTCTAGTTGCCTAGACCCAACTGTTTTGAGAACGACTCTTAATCAGCGCTTAATGTTGTATATGACAAATTAATAAATTCAAAGTAGCTGTTCATTTGAGATCTCTTCAGTGGACTTAAGTACAAGCACTTAGTCAACAGATTACAGCAAAAAAAGTAGTTTTCATTTCTCTTTGCTGTTAGTCGCGGTTGTGACGAGGTTCGACCAAAGGATAGATGGTTAGTTGACTGGATTTAAGAGAACCCAAGGAAAGGTTAACTTCTTTGGTCCGGAGAATCAGGTCCGACGATGTTGAACCAAAGCAAAGAAGGTTAGATTATTGAATTTAAGGCTACCCGTGTAAAGACTGTCTGTCTATGGTCTGCCGAACCATCAGACGGTCAGCAAGGTTTTATATGATTATATAAGGGACATCTAAAGCATAATTGTAGGTCACTGCGTTTTAACAGTTTTCTCACTAGGCTTTAACCAACTTTTCGACGAAAATTATCTGATATATAAATTTTTTTCAAAACAAAAATACATTAATAATTTGGAGAAGTTTTGCCGAGTTGGACTTTCTTGGCCGGATATAAATTCCGGACTATTCCTGTTAGATCCGACTGTCGTGCGAGCGGATGCCTTTTAGATCTAGGACTTGATAGACCACATCGAAAGCCTTCGTCTAGTAATTTTCTATTTAGGTACCACAACAAATAGACGTTTTAGGCTGTCCAAGTGAGCTATCTTTTAGAATCGTACATATTATATTATTGGAGATAAACTATATTAAAGTATAAAAGACCGAGTGTTTCAGTCTTAAATCAAAACTCTTGCAAATGCAAATCATGAATGAAATTGGAGAAAGTGTTGTAAGCTTTTTTGTTAATATTTATTGTTGACTCCGTACGCAGTTTCAATTCATTATTTTTAATTAAGACAAGCGTCAAGTTGTTATGCTGGCAACAATATGTTCCGCATGTGCGTAACTCAGCTATGTATGTACAATAGGTATATATAATATGTGCTACATATATAAGAAGACACTTGTAACTGAGTCTATGTAGTAATAAAGCCAGTTTCTCAGGCGGCAGGTAGCCACGCCAACTTCCCATTCCGACTAGAAGCCCACGGTAACGCCTTAATGTTGTCGATTTTATCAACATATCATCAGTACCTTATAAACCTACAAGTATATATACATATGTATATATGTACGATTATATAGTGGGATTGTGTTCCTAAGCATATTAGTTTACCGGCATGCGCGACGTGATATAGCGTCTCATGGTCTCACAATGCATTGGAAAGCCCGCATTCAGCTCCCCCGACTGCTTTCAAGCTTATGTATTATGTACATATATATGTAGGTATATGCATTTAAGTGATAAAATGGGCGTATAACAACAGCATCGGGCATGCTGTTATCGTTTTTCTGCTTCTTTAATTTCTATGCTGCCTGCTCGACTTATCCTTGAGTGTTGGCATTACATTACACACGCATTGAAATTCATTAGCCGGTTATGTGCATACATACATAAATTTATATATACATACTTGTATACATATGTATTTATATGTTATAAGGTGGTATGGCGAAAAGCACTTGTTTGCTGTAACATTGTTTATCGACTTAAGTGTTGTAAGTATATCTGTGCAACGCATATCAACTTGCAACACGTCGTCATCAAGTAATCCACATTACAATTGGCGACACACTTATTACATACGGATTTACGACTCTTTACATTTGTAATTATACTTTCACACACTTTGCTTATAGAGCTCTGTAACGTTTGGTACATATTATGTGTGCTTTCGATTTTCCGATTAATCAATTTGTATCATTGAACTAAATACGAATGTGTATTCCGCTATCACTTTTTATTCAGCAAAACTACTTTAGGGCAATAGAAAAATGTTGTAATAAGCATAAATAAATTTGGTCTTTATATAATATTTCCCCTACCGCTTGTAGTCAGTGTACATATGAGCTTACGTATATTGTGGATCTACTACGGCTTTTGACTATCACACGTAGTTTTATGGCTTATATTCGTCAATTGGAAAGTCTTTAACCAAGTACGATTTCCTAAAAACCATAATTATTTTTCTAATAAAGGTTGTTTTTTGAAGGTATAGAATTCATTAAAGAAAAATCTGTCAAATCAGATATCAAGTAAACACATGCTTTTTGACATTTATGTTTAGTATACACTTCTAATTCTTCTTCTTAACGGCCACGTAAAAATTTGCTGTGTATTTGTAATGCGCGTACCCCTGAAGAGCCTAACTAGCTCCCTTTTGCTTCAGAAAAATAATTCTATCTGAGTGGCTTGTAGACTGAAGCCATTACCGGGAAGCCTGATGAATGATTGTGACATTTTGATTTCCCTACCCACGCCTTTTTCAAATGTTTTAAGAGGTTATATCCACTGGCAAGGCAGAAAAAACGTATTGGTTTGCTTTTTTTTTAGTTTTCTTTTTGAAAAGGTATTTTATTAAAAAAAAAATACAAAAATTTACATTCACAAATCTTGTTGTAATTTAATAATCGGTTATTAATTTCGAAAAGTTTTGGTTTCCCTCTATCCCGTAGCCGAACGCCAGGAGGACTCCATAAAAAGTTGTCTAGCGGCGAGCGAAATTCTTCTGCTTAAAACTATCTTAAAAATAATAGTTGTTATTATAGATTAATACCGGTAATGGCCGAAGAACTAGTCAAGATTTTGATTTTTAACAAAATGTCGACTTCTCATAAAATGTTGTTTTTTTGTGAAATAATGTACTCTCTCTTGCAGTGGCCTAAAAAGTCGAAATTATTGTCAAAAATCGTATTCTTTCTGTCATAACCCAGCAAAGATATCTAAGAAGGACATGTGAATTTCAAGTCGTTCGTTCCAACCTTTTCTGAGAATTTTTCCTCACCGTTTCTGAAAACAGCGTGTTAAGAAAAATGCGTTTAAAGTTTGGCAGCTGATTACACTAAGTTAAAAACGTCTTACAAGTACCCTCATTACTTCGAAACTATTAGCCTCATCTACTTCTAATATTCGGTGCAAATTTTCAAATATATGTTCAATCCTATAAAAGCGAATATAAAATGTACGTAGAAATAAATATGTATGTCGGTGTTGAAAGCCATATTTTTACCACTAGGTGATAATTTGAAAATTTTAGAAACCAGACAAATACAACTATATTTCCAATCGCCATCCCATTTTGGTCATTTTGATTATATCTCTTAAGACTTTATCGTGATAAGAATTTAAATTTACATGAAATGATAATCTTGGCTGAATTTTAAAGGCTCTCGGCTTCAATTGTGATTTTAATATTATTTACAGAGTGTAATTTATTAAATTTATAATTATATTTTAGTTTGAATAAAATTTTTATTTTAGCTTGTTGTAAAAATAATTTACACATCTCCCCGACGGGGAATTGAACCCCGGTCTCCCGCGTGACAGGCGGGGATACTGACCACTATACTATCGAGGACGTTGTTAAACTATTAATTCATATCTCTTAACACCTAGACGACAAGAAATCAACTCTGTTATACCTTAACTAGAGAGCGCGCGATCTTCATTTAGTTCAGTTGAAAAGCGCTGAAAGAAGGTCTTATTTTACAGTTCAATCTGTCTGTTCTCCATAATAAAATCTGCGTATCTTCGAAACCATTGAGTGATGTATTATATGTTTTACAGTTCAAAGGAAATATTTTTTGAGAAACTTAGCTCATTGATAAAAAAAAAAACGAATAAAGAAAATGTGTAGAAGTATAAAGATTCTGTTTTTTGTATTTTAAGTGAGATAGCAATGCTTTAAAAAAGCTGTAACTGTAGACTCATCTATTAAAATTACATGAATTCAGCTCTTAATTACGAACAAATTTGTATGAATATAATAAAAAAAAATCCTTTTTCACCTCCCCGACGGGGAATTGAACCCCGGTCTCCCGCGTGACAGGCGGGGATACTGACCACTATACTATCGAGGATGTTAAATTTGGCACGGCAAAGTGTAAACAAATGTTAGAAAGCTTCTAACGCCGGACATTAGACATACGCTGTTAGCGCTGCTTTAGAATACAGTTAAATTTAGAACTTTAGCATTTCCCCAGCGACATCTGACGCGCCTAAAAGGCATCACTTATTGCTGCGTAGTTTATGCATTTCAACAAAAGATGGCGCTCCGAGAAAACACTGTCGATGGCTTAGTCATAGTTGAACTTTCCGGCAAAAGCTCAGTTGCGTACGTCTATGACAGAATTTACGTTGCCATCGTCATTGCTTTCGGTCGCACGACGCCATTTGTTTTGTTTATATAAAAAGTTATTGCTCCCGAACAAAGCACGCGAATGAATAAAATAAAGCGCAGACCGAAACAGCTTATGTGAACGGCAATGACACCAACAAGCTCACCACGTCTACACTCAAATCAAAGGTTTTTCTAAATTTAGCTAGTTGAGTCTAATTCAACAGTATTAGAAAGAGAGCGAGTAAGGCAATAAGAGATGGAGAGCGAAAGAGCAAACGAGCAATTGAATTGGTGTGTGAGAGCGTATTAATTTAGCTCATGCGCAATTTCACTCTTCGCAAGCACACAAATACAACAATGTTGCTGCGTGCGTTTGTATGTGTGT